TTACAACAAAACTTTTTAGATTTTGCTAAATCTATCTCAGATTGACAATTTCCCAAATCCGTTATTCCTACCTCACGCGGGTTTAAGTTAGCAGCACTTAATGTGAGAAGCATAGTAAATCACATTGATGAGCTGCGAGTTTTGCTTGCTACTAGCCCAATCAATGTTCTAGCAATTAACGAGACATGGCTTAATTCTACAATAAGCGATAACGATGTTTACATACCTGGATATGAAATTATACGTCGGGACAGAGCATGTAGTAGTGCCGATGGAAAAACGTATGGAGGTGTTTGCTTTTATGTGCGCTCCTGCGTAAATTTTATACTTCGCAAGGACCTGTTTATCGATGACTTGGAAAATTTATGTATTCAAATTCAAAAACCAAATTCTAAGCCCTTTCTCGTTACAACATGGTATAGACCACCTAATTCGAATACTGATAAATTTAATCATTTCGAAACGTTTATTGATATGCTTGACGCAGAAAATGTCGAGTATTACCTATTGGGCGACCTAAATTGTGACCTTGGATCGCCTACTTTAGATTGCAATTCGAGATCTTTAATTGGCATCACTGAACTCTATGGTTTACATCAATTAATAAATGAACCAACTCGAATTACCGAAACTTCATCAACTATGATCGATCATATTTTTACCAATACACCAGATAATATTGTTTCCTCTGGTGTTTCTCATGTCGGTATCAGTGATCATAGCTTAATTTACGCATTCCGTAAGCTTTCTATCAGTCCACGCAACAAAGGCCATTCTACAATAAGTTATAGAAAACTTAAAAATTTCAACTCTGAATATTTTCGACGAGATATTTCTTTAAGAATGGGACGTGATAAGGATTTATAATAATCCGAATGATATGTGGCGTATATGGAAAACGACCTTTAACAACGTAGTGGAAAAGCATGCCCCTTTACGAACTAGGCGAGTAAGATCTTCTAAGGCGCCGTGGATCACGCCTGAATTAAAAAGGCAAATGCATGAAAGAGATGTTTTGAAAATAAAAGCTATTCGATCCAAAGATATTTGTGATTGGACTGTTTTTAAGAAAGCTCGAAATTCTGTAAACAATGAAATTAAACTTGTTAAGAAAACCTATTATATGAACGCTTTTCATGAAAACGAGAATAATGTTAAAAAAACTTGGGGTATCATCAATGAATTGACCTCAAGAAAACAGATGAGTTCACGAGTAAATGAAATCAAAATAAACGGGGTTTCTATTACTGACCCCTCGGACCTATCTGAGACGTTTAATACTCATTTTGCTACTATTGGACCTAAGCTTAAGGAAAAAATACCTGACGAAGAAAACAATCGCTCGTATTTAGAATATCTTACTTGCCACAATAGTAACATAATATAGAGTTTAAGTCAATAACCCCATCATCAGTTTATTCGCTTCTTAACAAACTTTGTAAGTCCAAAGCAATTGGGCTAGACAAAATATCTGCCAAGCTTCTTCGTCATTGTCCTGACTTGCTTTCGGAATCCCTTGCCGTAATTTTTAACTGCTCTATCATTACCGGTATCTTTCCTGAAGAATGGAAATGCTCAAAAGTCATTCCATTATTCAAACAGGGCGAGCGTAGAGACTTAAATAATTATCGCCCAATTTCGATAATACCGGTTGTGGCGAAAGTTTTCGAACGAATTATTTATGATCAAATTTACGGTTTTCTTACTGAGAACAATTTACTATGTAATAGCCAGTCTGGATTTCGACGTTTGCATTCAACTGTTACTGCACTTCTAGAATCTACTAATAGCTGGGCCTACAATATTGACCAAGGACTGGTCAATGCTGTCGTTTTCCTAGATCTTAAGAAAGCCTTTGATACAGTTGACCATGGAATTTTGTTGTCAAAACTGTCAGCATATGGTCTTGGGGGTGCTGTGGCTAACTGGTTTAGGTCTTATTTAAGTAACCGCAGTCAAAAATGTTATGTCAATGGCCATCTTTCTACCAACCGTACGTTACTTTGTGGTATTCCACAGGGAACTATTTTGGGACCATTGCTATTTTTATTGTATATAAATGACTTGCCAAATTGTCTTGAGCACTCCCAAGCACGAATGTATGCAGACGACACCAATTTAACATTTGCAAGCAATAAAATTGAAGATATAGATTATTACTTTAATCAAGATCTTGAAAATGTTAATAAATGGCTTATCGCCAATAGGCTTACATTGAATCAATCCAAAACTGAATTTATGCTAATTGGCTCACGACAAAGAATAGCTACTTTCCAATCAGACCCATGTTTTAAAATAGACGGAATTCCTATAGACAAGGTTTCACATACAAAATCTCTAGGAGTTCACCTTGATGAAAATCTATCTTGGAATATACAGATCAAGGAATTAACAAAAAAAATTGCTTCTGGTATTGGCGCTTTAAAACTCGTTCGTTCATTTGTCCCAGTTGCAACATTGTATTTAATTTTTAATTCCCTTGTCCAGCCATATTTCAATTATTGCTGTACAGTTTGGGACAATTGCAATAAAACCTTGGCAGATAAACTTCAAAAACTACAAAATCGCGCAGCGAGAGTTTTGACCTTTTCAAGCTATGACACTAATGCCGACATCTTACTCGATAGACTTGGCTGGAAAAAGTTATCTTCCCAACGCCAATTTCAAAAGGCTGTCATGGTTTATAAATCACTCAATGGACTTGCTCCACAATACATGGGTTCCATGTTTGTAAACCGTGACAGTGTCAATCCTTATTCGTTGAGAAACACAAATAGTAAGCTGGCTGTTCCTAAGCCTCGCACAAACTATCTGAAGAATAGTTTTAGTTATAGTGGTGCGATGCTATGGAACAGCCTACCGATTGGGCTACGGCTAGCAAATAACCTATCAAATTTTAAAGCGGGCTGTTCCAAATTATTTTAATCTACATTCACATTTGTATTATATTATATTTCTTGTATATATTCCTTACACGGCTCTCATGAAAAGCAGGTATATTAATTATTAGTTTGATTTATCATTGTAAATATTTTTGTAGTCTTATTTTGTAATTCATAATCTTGTCATTTGTCAGCATGAAAATCCTGATTGAGAATACCGTGTGTAAATAAAGTTTAATAATAATTTAATAATAATAATAAACCGATCAGAGATGTTCTGAACATTGTAATTCAGAAACCGGACGTGTTCGATCGCATATTGGAAAAGTGTAGCTTTTGGAAAAGACTGAGACTATGTGCATACGATTTATCCGTAACGCTGGGAAAGTGAAGAAAAGCAAACATGTTCCCTTGTCAACTGGAGAGGTAAAAGAACAGGAACCAGCATTTACCCGAATTCGAGAAGATCACGCCAGACTCGACCTTAAGCCGAACGGAAATGAGATTCTCGAATGCAACGGTCGCATACAATGAAACAATCCCACCTACTGACCAGACAACGACCCGTACACGGTGAAACTAGTGGAGCACTCCCCCAAGGTGACCCTCCACGGGGGGTGAATCAAACGATGACGAAAGTGCGAGAGAGATACTGGATTCCACGGCTGAGAAGACCCTCCTGATGCGTCATCAAGAAGTGCTTCGGCTGCAAACGATTCCATACGACTCCCTCGCCAAACTCACTACCCGGGAGCAGGGGGCTACTGTAGCGCCTTGTCACCGAATAACTTCGAGCATATCATGTGGTTTCCGGACGGCGCGTAAGGAACTTTTAACAACATTATTTAAATGTATAATTCTTTTAGGATATAGCCTCGCCTAGATTATAGTTTATAATTCTGAAATAGACGCTTAGTTTAATCTTTACGCCTCAAATATTATTTACCTTATATTTCCTCTTGGCAGCAACACTTGTACATATTTATAGCTCATTATCACTTCTTGCCTAAAGATGTTACACTCCTTAATTATCTTGACACTAATCTTAATTGCTTCTCCGCCTCGCCTTTACTAACGATAGTATAAAATAACTTGTGTAAGCAGACAGTCTCGCTTTATGCTCTCAAGATAACATCTCTTCAATCTATTGATTGTATCGACGAAATACTATGTGAAATGAATTATATTATATCAAAATTTCATTAGTCTCCTGAGTATTTGACACTAACTCACACGGAAACAAGTCATATACGGATACTCACGCTAAATACGCTTGTTCATTGAATCTTGCGTTGTACCTCGAGCTGACGACGTCCATGAGTACCGAATCATACACAATTTAAAACAGAACCTATTTGAAGGCCCTGTCACACTGTTGCGTATGATAGGAACGTATGAGTCGCGTATAAAGATCATTTCATTCATTTTTATACGCACGAAAAAGTCTGTAAAAATAGGACATTTTGCATAAAATTAACTTATTAAACGTATGAGTATCGTATGAGTAGCCTGTCGCTGGCGTATGCCAGCGTATGAATAGCTTACGAGAAGCGTTTGAAATGCGCATGTCAAGCATACCAATGGCGTTTCACAGACTTTAATCGTATATAAGCGGCAGTATTTTCACACGGCTCCATTCGAGAAAATGTCAAACCTATAGTGAAAAAAGAAGAAGACACCATGGCAAATAAGAAGACATCATCTACCCGCGGACGAAGAAAAGGAAAGAGGACTCCATCATCAGCCGTTGCCAAAGCTGACGAACAACGTGTTTGTGCACCTGCAGATGTAGTTGAACCACCTGATGATGATGCACTTATTCCTGAGACATCTTTAAATAATGCGCGACATGTTCCTGAGCTCTCAAAGTCCCCAACACAACCTTCCCAAGACTCCATAATTCATCGGCTTTATCATCTGAAACCATTGATGACTTCACTTCCTTCCGGCGGGCTGATAGCAATGAGAAAAAAAGAGGAAGAGGGCGAAAAAAAACCCTACAACCTCAGCGCCACAGAAGAGGAGCTGATGCTGGAGTTTATCATGGACAATCCTGTGCTGTGGAATGTGAAGAACAGATTATAGGCGAAAAGACAAGAAAGAGAAGATCTGGGAAGAGCAAGCATATCAGATGAATAAGACTGTTGACATCCTCAAGGGCTGGTTCAGATCGCTGCGCGACACCAATACGCGCCTTGACAAAAAGAAAAGCGGGGATAGTGCTCCAAACCTGACTAAGAGAGAACAGTGGATCCTCTCAAAGTTTGCCTTCCTGAAGACTGTCACTCGCCACCGACCGGAGCCCATGCAGAGTGTAAGTATACAACCATATTACCTTAGCAACATGATAACCAAGTAATTTGAGACAATTTCCACATGATATTTTTGGTTTTTTTAGGTGAAGGAAACCATCCAGCTTCACAGAGGAGATCTCAATGCTGCCGAGAGCGCCTGCGCTGATATGCAGGATGTCTTAGATGAAGTCACTCCAATACCATCATCTACCGCTGGAAGGTCCCACAAGCGACCTCAGGACACAGAGAGTGACGTCCTTGAGACTCTACAGAAGAGAGTTGCTGAGTCTGGCACCATCCTCAAAGACATCTACAAAGCTAAACAACAGCCCATTACAGCACGAAGTGTCTTTGCAAATTATGTTAAAGAGAGCCTTTTGACTATGTCCAAGTCCAAGTACAAGAAGGCAAGGTCCTCCATCAATAGGTTATTGTCTGAACTCATGGATGAGGACAGCGATGATGAATTTCCAAGTGCAATGGCGGCTCCATCTATCAAAGTGAACCAACAAGGGATCCCTTCTCAACCACCCCACGATTTGCACCCCACTACAAAGTCACCCGAACATTACTAGTCTTTCAGGATTTCGAGACATCATGGAATCTACTGATGCTATTGGATTTCAGGATGAGGTTCTCAACCTTAACCACCAACGTGAAAGAAGTATTGACTATAGACCACGGCGGCTGTATGGCTTCATCATTGTCTCTCGGAGGGCAAAGGCATCGTCACCTACAAAGAAGTAGGGGACACTCTGATAGTCTTTGGTAAAGCATCGGGGATGGGGAATCCTATAGTTCCGTCTTCTGTTAATTCTTTGATTTCAGAGTTGTTGTAGATCTGTGCGTCCGATGATGACCCTTTACCACCGAGGTCTGCCCAGATGAATTTATAATCTGCGTCTACAAGGCCCATGAGTACAACAGAGTAGAATCCCTTTTAGTTGAAATATTGGGATCCACTTTTTGGTGGACATTTGCAGGCAATGTGCTTTCCATCTATAGCACCACATGTAGAAGTTCCACCTCTTGAGGAACTTATCAGATATGGCACGCCATCCCTCTGGCGTGGTAGGGCAGGTCATTACTTCGGACATGTATTCGTCGATGATGGCTTGGCAAACCTCTCTGACAATAAGTGACTGGGTGTTGTGGGGGACCCTCCATCCGTACTTCATGGCTGAATACGTGCTCCCAGAGGCAAGGTGTCGCAAAGTCAAAGAGAGCTTCAGCCCAGGCTCCAGGGGTCGCCTATACCAGGTATGTTTCTTGGTGATCCTGCAGGGACTCACTCTTGCTAGAAGCTCATCAAACATCTCGGGGACCATCCGCATAAAGTTCTTGAAACATCGCGTATCCTCGCTTCGGAGTTCCACCAGAAGTTGGTCGTAAATGCCAAACTACCTTCGCCTTCCGATCCATAATCTCATCCATACCTCACGTCTTTTTCTTTTTCTTTTTCTACTTTTCCTTCTGTTATTTTCTATGTGACGAATCGTCAAAGCTATGAGATCAAACTGGTATTCAAGAACAGCTAACTCCATTCTTTATCCTCGAAGGTACAAGATGATATGAAGGCATCCAACATAAATATATATTATACACAATAAATGACATGCTATAATATTTATATACCCTTTCTCGTAACGTTTGCAATACGCTGAGGATACGACGACCAGGCGTTAACTATACGCTAATTGTACGGTAAATGCGTTATTTAATCGTCAGTCATACGCTAAGCCCTCTATAGACGTTAAACATACGTCACACATAAGTTAGACCTTCGTTACTGATGCGCTATCAACACGTTAGTTGTACGGCACACTTACTCATTTCCGTATGATTAGCGTACTCAACCTATTAGTACAGTACATTTAGCGTCCTTCTGCCGTATTCAGCGTATGACTAGCTTATCTTTACCGTATAAACCATACGTCCAAACACGCACAAGATTTTTAAGCATGCTTAAAAAAATTTTCTTCCTCGGCGTATATCAGCGTATGTGACCGTGCTTGGAACGTGTATAACTTACGCACGACGTACCACCAACATATTTCAGCGTATTCCGGCGTATGCGTATTATTTATCATACGCTGCCATACGCTAATGCGATACGCAACAGTGTGACAGGGCCTTGAATGACTATTCTTATATTATACAGCGTGATATTATGCTCTCCCTAGCAGTTTTAGGAATTAACTGGTCACGCCCAAGTACTACATTTATGACCAAAGAGCTAGGTGGCATCTATCACTACTTTTTCAAGATTCAATTTAGACCGCATTAACTTAATTGCTAGAACTGTTTTAGTGTGATTCCATTGCAGAATGTTGGTTGTTATTTTCAAAAAATTCAGGTCTTTTAGTGCAACGAACTTTTTAGGTTGCATAAATTCTTTAAATGAGTATTAAAATCACTCGTATTGTAGATTACAGATATTGACTTTTTATAGATTACAGACATTGATTTAATAGATCCTTAATAACGTAGAGCTGGCATAAAAATGAATAGAAATAAAATTTTTGTGTTTTGAATGTTTTGTTATTATTTGATCGACATTGAAAACTATACGCAACTTACTGGAATCATTCGATCTTTATTTAAAAATGCAAACACTTTACTATTCATTCATCCTAAAACATTATCGATACTCTCACAAATAACCTCCCAAATAAACTTTAGAAAAAAATAGTAAATAGCATTTGTTTGGTTAAAAATGTACTTTCGGTTTAAAATAGAAGAAGAGTGGGGTAAAGTAATTCACTCTGGACAACAACCATACTGTGCGACATGCAAAGAATTCGGGCACAGTCGGAGAAATTGCGCGCTGACCAGTTCCGACGCTTTAAGAACTAGGGCATATCGCCATTAATTGTCCTACAAAGAGCCAAAACCAATTAAACCCCAGGATCAAACCGATGAAAAGTCCATGGAAAATGACGAACCACCCAAGGATCCAGGCCGAACAACAAGATGAGACAAAGAGTTCAAGCGAAAAGCATGCAATGGAAACGGAGAAGAAAATAACAAAACCCCAGTTGCCTTACCGAACGAAACGAACTCAACAGACAACACAGACCTCGAGAACGACCGCTTCACGAAAGTGAGGTAATGGACGACGAAACAGGCAACGACAAAAAATTACAAATCAAACACCCCAGAATGGATATAAAAACAATACGAAGAAAGGACAAGGAGAAGCTTCAGGTAATTTTTTAACATTCATGCAATCTTTGGACTATATCAAATCAGTTAAGTGTTAATGTGTAGTACGTATTTTAACTATAAACGCACAAGGACTGGACAGACAAAGACAGACAAAGGGGACAAACAGCCCTCGACTTTTTCTAACGACAAAGATATGATGTTGTCTTCTCACAAAAAAACACACTGGACAAACGAACTCGAAAACGAAATACGCCAAAAAATGCCAGAGACTGGGAACATATTATTTAGCAATGGCACAGCCAACGGATGGTTGCGTTATTTCGGCTCACAGATCACAACATTGGAGGCGACACAATGAATTGCAGATGCGCAAATAGGGGCACTATGTAGGCTGGCCTCTTTCGCCAATGCATGTATTTCCATAAATACAAGCTGCGGCAACTCATGCATAATTATAAAACGTATATTCCTAAAATATTTCAGGGTTCTTGGTGAGAGGCGATAAAGAACCGCTTCAAAATCGTTCGCAAATATGACACTAAAAAAGAAGGCTATTACATCCTGCTGACTTGTCATGTAAGAGCGTTCTGAAAACGGCAAGGAAATCTCTCCAGTCCCACGACAAAAAAAAACTCAAAAACTCACTCGGAACTTGTACTGGCAATACAGAACGAAGCTCGGCTGAGTATAAGCCAAACGTGGTAAAACTTTCCGAGATTATGAAAACAACTTATGATGTAAGAAGAGGAGAAATCACAAATAAGATATCGCCAATTGTTGATATTGTAAAAAGATATCCACCCTTAGGAACATGCGATGATGTAAGTATTTATGTTGAGCTTTCTATATTTACATTTATATTTATTTATATTTTCAGGGTGCTGTCATAAGACACACTCAAACATTTCAACTTAGTCGCTAAAAGTCAGCTGGCGAAGCAAGTCACAAACTATTCTGAAACAATTTCATACATCCCACCTCCTCCCCATGCCTGCATCCATGAACCTGGTTGTGATGGTATTCGGGGCTAGGGGGGGGGGCGTTATTGTAAATTTTACCCTCACCTTACTGGGCAAAACAATGTGATACATATGTAAAGTTATATAGTTAATCAGTTCTGTTAAAGTTAATAAATATTACGTCATTTTATTAATAAAATGGCTAGGGGTAATTGTAACCCCTAGCTCAAAATATCCCAAACTCGTGTTTGGCTCTTTCAATCGTAATTAAGACCGCGGGAAAAATGCCCAGTAACGAGCTACGGAAATGCAACATCCATGGGGCGACATGTGAGGAAATAACACAAAGATTACTCGCGCACGATGACAGACATAAATGTATGTATACACATGACACATGCACTAATAATGCATGCCTTGGGTTGCCTCCATCCATCCTAGGTAATATTTGGCAGTGAATGAAAAGGAAGAAATGTGTTCAGTGGCTGCGAGGAAATTTGTGGTTTGTAATGATGAAGAGTTGCAAATTGGGCAAAGGCTAGGGATGTAAAAACACGCAGGCTGGATGAATATCCCTAGGTTTAGCGCTCCGTAAGTAAAGCTAAAGATACAACAATATTGGGATAATAAAGTTTTTATGAAGACAGTAAAAAGGTTTTTTTTACTTTTTCACCAAGATAATCTTCCATCTCAGTAACAAAAAAGCAATTAAATAACCTTGCAGACATACATGAAATCACAAAAAAATATCTCCTATTGTTGATATTGTAAATAATTGTCCACCCTTAGGATCATGCGCTGGTGTAAGTTTATGTCGAGCTTTCCATATTAATTTATATGTATATTATTAATGCATATTAATGACACATTCACTAATATATGCATGTCAACTATATTTGTTATAAATAATCGGGGTTTTTTATGTACACACCATGGCTTTACACGACCTTCCGTGACGCCATTTCTACCCGACGGGGTCCATTTTAATCGAATCAGGCAATATAAATTATACCGAAGTTATCGGGGGGCATTCTTCAAGCAATTAAAATAATATGAAATTCTACATATAACAAGCTGTCCTACGTTATATTTACTTATCTAACCTTGACAATTGTGATTTTGGTTGTCTGTCTGGTGTTTTTCTATTTTAATATTTGCTTTTGAAGTCACAAAATATAAAGATAATACCCAGAACCAAATGTTGTAGTTACAAGACAGGCTAGAAAGGCCCCGGCAAGGGTTCTCCGGGCGTGCCTAGAGCGAAAAAGGTGACGAAACGCCAAGAGAGGACCCGCACGAGCGAAGCATTCGTCGGCCGTAAGCGCAAGTCGACAACGACCGGCTCAAGCACAGGTGTAGTAGAGGGAACGCCTCCGAAACGAAATTTACTCCCGAAACCAACCGAGTCGGCGAAGACCACCACGACACCACCACCAATACCACCACCACTAATACCACCACCACCAATACCACCACTACCAATACCACCACCACA